TCAGATACTATTTCCTGACTATAGTATACAAATGGCTGATTTTCATAAATTTACGGGGTAAATTCAAGGAATTTTCTGAAAAGAAGTAACAATTCCAAATGCAGCCCAAAATATAAACAGGAACATTTATTGGCACGCGCGTGCACACACACACACACACACAAACATCTGATGGAATAGATTACTGCAAAAATCCAGAGGGATCTAAAAATCCTACAGGTAAGTTTACAAGTTAAAATGTATGAACTCCCAGATTAAGTAAATTCTATGCCAGGAAATTTCTGTACAGTTTTTGTATTTTGGTGGAATAACATATCTATCCTTGAATTAATAAAGTATATAAGTAGGAGTCATACTAAAAATTATTATTTACCTAATGTCAGTGAGAGGACCTAATAAGAGGAATTCTAGAGGGGTTACACATAAGTGATTGCTATGGTATTTAAATGAGTGTAGCGGCTACCATTTATCAAGGGTCCTACTTTTACAGGGCTGAAGGATTAGTGAGGTTACAAACATAAAGCATCTAGACTGTGGCTGGAATATACTAGGGCGTCAAAAATGGTTTTCATTATTTAATAATAAAGTTGAAATCATACAATATGATGAATATAAATACCAAGTAATAAAAATGGGCGTTTTCTGGAGGTGGTCCTAGTATACAGTGTAGACTGACTGCCTTGAGATCATCTTGTATCAGAGAGATCTACAAAGGAGCACATGGAGTAAAGAAGGGAGCGTAATGTCAGGAAAGGCTCTTTTCAGATGTTAATGTAGGGACAGTTGTGGCCCGCACAGGAACTGACCATCAGGGAAGTGAGAAAGCAAGCAAGTAAAATGTGTGAAGAATAATGCAAGGTAAAGGAAAAGACAGATGAAATAGTGTTAGAAAGCAGGGCCACAGAGAAGCACAAGGGTGCTGGGCCTTATTTCTCAAAGGCTTGCATTCAAGCTTAAAATCCGGGGGGTAAACTACTTTAGTGCAGTGATCCAGATCCAGATCTGGTTCCACAATGCAAGGACTCTAGGCTGTGCTTCAAGTTGCCAGGGCAATAAGTGAGCTGTTCCTACCATTCTGGGTTCATCCTTAGCTCAGAAATGCGGTGCTTGATGGCTCTCAGCTTTGGCAACCCTATTTCTTCTTTGACTAATGAGATGGTTCAAAGTGTAATGGTAACCTTAACAGGATGATTCAAGGTGTTATATTAGCTCTGTATTCAGAATTGTTCAATCATGTGGCTTTAACCTGTATCTGATCCTCACCAGGTCTCAGGAAAATACAGGTGAGATGTCAAATCAATCATAGGTAATACCTTTGGTTAATCAAAAATATGTTTAGAATCTTGTATGAAGGTGAAAGCTATAGTTTCCCATGAAATAAAAATAAAGCTGGCACCTTCAGGATTTTGACCATTCAGCGTTTTCTCCTCAAGTTGAAGGATAGTTAGAACAGCTGAGTCACAAACAAGGAAGTTTCGTTTTAGTGTGCCTGTCTGTTCCATCGCTTGGTGGTTACCATACCTTAAAACATTTCCTTTTACACATTAAGAGAAAAAGAAAATAATAGAGTTGTGAACGTTCATAGTTCAGAGGAGAAACATAACCGCAGCTGCCACTGTTAGCAGTACAGTAAGGCGATTAATAAGGGACACAGCCTGGATTCAAAACCCTGTTCTGTGTAGCACTGGCCAGGTGGCCTGAGAAAGTAATTTTTTTAGGTCTAACCCCCTTATCTCTAACATAGGGTTGTACTTGCTTCATAATGATTGTTGGCAAGGCAAATATACATTCAACAACCTTTCCTTATTATCACTATTATTTCTACCAATATATATGCCAAGCACCATTGCAAATACCCCATACATTATTCTACCTAATATTCACTACGATCTTTCAAATGTTCTTATAGCATTAGGTTGCCACTTGAATTCAAGAACATCTGATCTCTCTTGGTTTTTTCCCTCTCTGAAGCTAAAATACTTTAGCTTTTGTTTGCATGAACTCTGAAATAGGTTAAAAAGATGACTATAGTTGTTTGGTTTAACCTACGATTATTTTAAATAAACTAGCTTCTTATGTAATAATTATAAATAAACTATATGCAAAGATTTTCCACCATTTCATGGAAACTACCACACATATTAACTACATTAGCTATTTAAAATATGGAAGTAAATATTTTCAAAGCATCCTCTGTTAAACTAGTTTTGTGTGCAGGTATAGTTCCTGTAGAATTAAGACTTAATTTTACCTTAAAGTACAATATAGTGTGGACTCCAGAGTGATGCTGCCTGGTTTTAATGCTGCCTCCACTATGTATATAAGCAAAGGGACCAAAAGCTACATGGACTCTCTATTCCTGGTTCTCTCCTCTTTATAAACTGGGGATAATGATAGTACTTACCCATGTGAGATGTTTTAAGCATTTAATAGGTTAACAAAGAGCTTAGAATTGAGCCTGGCTCATAATAAGCATTATATTAGTGTTAGCTATTATTATGTAGCAATTTTTTAAGTGAAATAAAATATATGTAACATAAATCACTGCCATTCATCTCTAGAATATTTTCATCTTCCAACTGAAACTCTGTACCCATTAAATAGTAATGCCTATAGTAATGCCTATTCTCTCCTCCCGCTCTCCCTGGCAACTACCTCATTCTGTCTCTATGAATTTGACTACTCTCGTATCTCACAGAAGTGGAGTCATACAGTATTTGCCCTTTGGGGTCTGGCTTATTTCACTTCGCATAATGTCCTTAAGGCCCATCCATATTGTGGCATAAGTCGGAATTTCATTGTTTTACATAGTAATAAAAAAATAATTCTTATACTTTTATCAATCAGTAGACCTAAAGTGAAAGTTTTCTGCTCTATTCTGGAATTGACAAGCTGGAGAAATATATTCTTTGAGGGCGAGAACCTATCCGTTTTGGATACTCTTGTACTGCCAACATCCAGTGCAATGCTGGCAGTTTAATCTGTCCGTATTTGTTAGAAGAACAAATGAGAAGTATAAGGAACAATATTCATGTGCCTATAATGCATTCAATTCCTATGCAAGAGGCTATCATGAGTAATACAGAGTTTCGGGAGTAAGTTAGGTTTCCAAGCCGAAGTCATAATGCTAGAATTTAAGGGCAGAGTTGTATATTAGATTCAGGAAAGAATGGAAAAGACAAAAGGAAGCTTGGGAGAAAGTTTCAGAATGTCCTTCTATGTTTTGTTAGCCGCGAATTAGTAGTCAATAATTCAACCAGAAGTTTCTGAAATATGTGCGCAAAGTCTTTGATCTGTTTTACTGAAGTACAGTGTTATCATGAACACCAAATTTAACCATCTAACTTCACTGAGAATATAAAACCATCAAAGAATTCTGTATTTTGGATAACACATTGCCCAACTGATCTACTAAATGGCATACTTAAGACTTCTAAGGTGTCTTTTCACTCTTAAAAAAGATGTTTTAAGAGTTTTAAAAAGGCCCAAGGCCATTTTTAATCAAGACCAGTCTCTGGCATGTAAGCCATTTTTGTTGGTTTGTTTAATGCTTTGGGGGCAAATGGTGTAACTAAAAGCAGAGCAATGGGTTTTACAATGCTCAGTTTCAGAGACAAGGTTGGTTGCTACTGAAGACGTTTTCAGGGTCCAAGTAAGTGCCTGCATATTTTGGTTAGATGTCAAAAGGACAGCACATGAGAGGTAAGGTCAGGTGGCCTGGGTGTGATGATCAGTACTATTTTATGTGGGTGAGGAATGGCTAGAATTCTAGAAACCCTTAAGAGAAGTCTGGCAATCTCCAACGAAATTTGTTCAGCTTTTGTGTAACTAAAAATATATTAAGAGGTAAAGCAACTAGAATTCAAAACAATGGTTAAAATTATTACTGAGCATTTAGTCTGGACAAGGCATTTTGTTAAGTGCTTTATATTTAATGACCATTTAATTCTTGGAAGAGTCCTTTGAGGAAGGTATTATTATACTGCCTTAATGATGAAGAAAAGGAGGCTGAGGTTAAGTATGTTGTTCCAGGTCAAAGGTCCAGGTTTGAGGAGAAAAATAATAAATTTGCCCCCAATACTGGCTTTCCTTACTACACTTTTAGTCCATAAAAGTAGAAGTGACTAAGTAGAAGAAACACCCATTACTTAGTCAGGTTTGGGCCTGGATCAGCTGCCATGAGATGTTGAAAAAGGTACTCAGAGACACTTAAAATGTAAGAAAATTTAGTAGCCTCAAACTTCCAAATTTCAAAAATGGTAATTTTAAAAAATGTACTTACAAACACGTATGCCTTAGCAACACTGTACTTTATAAAAATATTGAAGCAGCATGGTGAGGGTGTCCTGACATGATCAGAGCTGGTTCTTTCCTAGAAGGAACTCAGAATCTTACAATCTAATTCAGGGGGGAGATGAATTAGGTATAGGTATATAAGGAAAAAGAAGCAGTGTAGAGCTAAGTTCTAACTGTAGACCAAGTAAGGAGCCAACTTCTAGATATCCAGTTGGGGCACCACTGTTACAGTGTGGAAAATGTGAAATCCCAACACAAACATGATAAAAGATGAGTAGCTGTGAGGGAGGGTTGGGGAGAGGTAAGTTGCTGACTTATATTAAAATTTACTGTAACAAGTGGAATTAAAGAGCATGCCATGACATCTATCTATTCCACTCTGGGATCTCTGTATCAAAAAGGTAGCCGTTTATATTTAGAAAACCCCATGCAACTATGTGAGGGACACCAAGACAATGTTATCCTTGCTAATAAATAGAAACATCAAAAACCATATCCTAATTAAAAATTAACCAAAGAAAAAAAGGAGATCTTTCTTCAAATTGTTGTCCTGAAAGTTATGAGATAAAAGCAAATGCCACCATAACTTACTCAGGAAAACCAGGGGCAGTTTTCACTCCCAAATGCCTAGGTGTTTGGGGGTGACTGGCAACTAGGATTAAAACAAGATGTCTAAATTCAAAGTTCAGAAAGAACGGTGTACGTTACCTTTGTAAGTCAATTTGTCTCTCTGCTGGTGCTGCCTTTTTGGCTATGTCTTGCAGTTTGGGTGCTTTGGCATTACCTGCTTCCAAACCTCCAGGGCTTTCCTGATTGACTGCGGCTCTCTTTCTTCCCTTGCTAAGAGGTTTATTTATATCATCATTTCTGGTTGCATTGCCCTGAGATTCAGACTTGGGTCGACGTCCTCTCCTGGGTTTTGAAGGGGCAGGTGGTCCTGATTCATCTACTTTCTCATCTGTTTTTTGTTGGATATTCTCTGCACCAGCCGCTGTTACTGTTCTTTTCTTTCCTCGGTCACTGCTGATGTTGCCCTGGGCAGCCTGATCAGAATTAATCTCCTAAAAGAGCAGAAAACAATTATATGAACATAAATTCCTTAAATATCACTGATCTATACTAGAAAGAAGCATTCTGCAAGTATTTTAAAAGAGTTGGAATTCCAGGGCTTCTGATTAACTGCTTACATCCCATGAAGAATGTAAACTCCTCAAGGGTAAGGACTGAACGAGGTGCCTACCATAGTGCTTGGCATATATAATATACTCAATAAATGCTTACTAAAGTGCATAGGCAGTTATATAAGAGAAAACCTACTCAGTTTTGCTTTCACAGCCATTTTAAATGAAAAGGTCCTTTTTATTGTGGTATGCTCTTAATGTATCACTTTTCAAAAGGGGGAGATGTTTTCATAATTCAATGTTATTTTCTTTCTCTATGATGCATCTGACTATAATAATCTTTGTAGTTCTGTGACACAAAGTTCTTTAATATCTCACTCCACTCATTCATTCTAACTTTTGTCTCTTCTTTATCAATCATTAACCTTCTACTTTTTTCTGAACATTCTCTTTTTTCCTCTGTTTGGCATATATATTACATATTGTCATCTAAAATGTTCAAAGTAATAAAATTCCATTTTAATATGAGACATAATGGACATTAGGAAGAATAATAGTTTTCAGAATGAAAGTGACCTTTATATGTATGATATTTAGGAGTCAATTATAATAATTTTAACTGATTCAAGGGAAACAAAGGAACACTATCCTCACCCAAAAAGTGACTTTATCTTTTCAATTAATTAATTAATTTTCATTTCCCAAAAAAAATGTTTTCAATGACCAGGGAAACACATAAATCTTTCATGTTTCAAGAAAATTTACTTAAATGAAAACTCGTGAAAGTAGTATCTTAAGTTAGAAAATCCACAAATCAGTGTTTCACGTTGAGGATTAACATTAAAGTAAACCCTATCTTAAGAGCCTTTAACATGGGCAGCTAGACTTAAATCCATCCTTCCAGGATGATGAGCTAATGAGAATGACGACTCCTACTTCTTTCACCCTCTTGGGATGTGGAGAGTCGTGTTACAAAAATCATCAAAAGGGAACAAGAGTAAGGTGGTCCACAGGATTTAAACTGTAAAACAATACAAAATGGATCAGAGAAAAGATATGCAAAGGCACCCTGGAGAAAGATGGAGATTCCTGGGCAAAATAAGAAGGGTCAATAAAAACAACTAAGTGTGGTTAAACTTGAAGTAGAAACCATTCAACTGAATGCCTGTTAGGTGCAGTGGCTGCTGGGCATAGACTGGGGAACAAAACTGTTATTTTTCCTGTCCTCAAACAGATTAGCATAGTAGGTGACTAATTTTTTAAAGAGTAAACAAACATTTAAGTACAGATTACCCTAAGTGCTAAGAGATTAAAGAAAAGGGCATTCAGAAGAAAAACAGAGGAAGCATCAATTTCTCACTGGTTCTTCTGGGGAATATTAATTAAATAATATCAAAGCAGGACTTATCACATGAAAAGTAAGTATTTTAGACAGATGGAAGAGGCAGCATGAAGTACCTGAAGAAGGAAAGAGCTTGGAAGATTGAAGGAACTTGAAGTGATGTGAGACTGCTATAAGGTAGGAGAAGCAGGCGTGGGCCAGATCATGAATGCCTTATGGGACATGTAAGAAATGTGATTTTATTCTAAGTGGTAATAAAAGTCATTGATGGACTTTAAACAGAGAATAAACATAATCCAGATTATATTAAAAAGATCACACTGGCTGCTATATTTGGTGATGAGATTGGAAGGGAGCAAGAATGTTAACAAGAAGGTAGAACTACTACAGTATCAGACGTTGAGTTAGGGAGTTCCCTGGTGGCCTAGTGGTTAGGATTCCAGGCTTTCACTACCATGGCCTGGGTTCAATCCCTGGTTGGCGAATTTCCTGCAAGGCGCATGGCATGGCCAAAAAAAAAAAAGTTGAGTTAAACAAGAAAAAGATAATTTAAAAACGGGCAGATATGAACAGGCAGTTCACACAAGAGTACATCCAAACGGTCAACAAAAATACTGATCATCAGAGAAATATAAATTAAAACAATAGTGGGGCATTAGTTTTGATACTTTAAACTGAAAAAAATTCAAAAGAACTATAAAACCTGTTTTTAGTGGGTATATAGAGAAAAAGTACCCTGCTGGTAGAAATGTCAAGTGTTCTAACTTTCGAAGAAAAGAATATGAAAATATCTAAAAGCTCTAGTATATTTACTCCTTGACCGGCATTCCCACTACTAGAACTTATTAGCCCCTAGAAATAAAATCACCAGTAAATTTAACGCAACATTGTAGTGACAAAGAACAGGGAAAGGAAGTATTTATGTGTATACAAACATGAAAATGATAATACTGTAGAGAAAAAATGGAACACACAGATAAGGCTGTTTAAAAGGGGAAAAAAGAGACTATTAAATGTCATGCACATGATCATATTTACACATTTATGAACATGATGTGCATATGTATAAAGAACTCATGCAAAAGCCAAATGAAGAGGAAATCAGCTGTCAGCTGTAGGCATGAAGAAACAGAAGACTCTAAAGGGTAACACTGGTGGTATTGCCGGCCTGCTCCACAGAATGTTAATGTGTTATTTCTTCTTTTAACCACCTCCCTTATTCATTATTCATATTACCATTTGATTTTGCTCACAGAGTAAATAATAGGAGAAAATGTTCTGATTTATAAACATGGATATACAATTTGCTGGATAATTTTTATATACATAACTAATAAATTGGTTTATGCATCAATCTCTTTGAGAAATTGGTTACCAAGAAACACTCTCTTAGATCTTTATCTTCTTTCAGTACAACAAGATAGTGTTTTGAGGCTGCAAGACTGAGAACCAGACCCTGGAAAGAAATGACCATATCAACTTCTGGGAGATCTGACTGGGAAGCTCTCAGGCTTTTGTCAAAATACAACCCCTGTCTCTTCAGGCAACAGTGAATCTGTTAAACATTCTTTGGAAGTATGAAAAAGTTAAAACAGTGTTTGGAACATTATAATATTACAGATCAATCAAAGTAATATTTTGGCCCCTCAGAAATTAGAATTTAAATGTCCAATTTATCTTCTATACAATTCTACAGCAGAGGTTGAAAAGGTTATAGATAGATGTTTGTACTAGATAAATATTTGCATCCCTGTACCACCTCTTAATACATATTATAAGCATGTTTACGTAATCTGTGGCAATATGCATATCTGCATCTAAGCATGATTATGTTCAATGTTTAATTCTATAGAAGGATCCCACAATATCTAAATCTACTGGTTTCTGAATTCTAAGAGTTTTGAAAGTGAGAGGTTCCCTGTTACCTGAGTTTACTGACATACTGAAGTTCAGATAGCAAACAGCAAGAGTATGGATAGTCAGAGACTGACCTAAAAAATGTATCCTTACCTATTTAGTTTGAATTCAGATGATAATTTTGGATAGGAAAAGTTCAGCTACTGTGGAATAACTGTATAGTCCCATATTTTATGTACCTGAGGATAACTCCTAAAACATTTGATAATACCATAAATATATGGGGGGTAAAAAAAGTATGTCAAGAACATGATTCTATAGAAAAAGAAATAACAGTATTAGGTCATTCTTACTGAGGCAAGTTATCCTCCTACCAATGTTATACTCCTTTCTGTCCTGCCAAAAAATTGTTAAGAATATCGGGGGCCACAGTTAAAAGATACACCATCAAAGAATGCAGCTGTTAAATAAAAACTCAAACATATTTTAAAAGGTCAGCTCATTAAGTTTAACTTAAAACAACAACAACAGAAACAGTGTTGATCCCTGGTGGGAGTCAATAAAGTTTTGAAAACAAGATCTCAAAGCACTTCAGTTCCTATTCTTTCAAGGTATTGGGAGAAGTAGGGTGGGAGAAGGTGACCACACAAACTCTGGTAAATGAAGAGAGTGGACAAAGAATCACTTCTGTAGAGTGGAAGCCCAGTAAGTATAGCAGGGGGTGGTATACACACAGGTATAGTATGTAGTATATATTAATGTATAGACTGTGGGTTTCTCACCCCATCATAAAATTGTAATAAGAATCTCCATGGGAAAAACCCACTTGTTAAATTTTAAAATTTACCTTATTCTTTACTGGGTCAATATTCTTTACAGGTGTCACAGAAATAATTCTCACAGGGTTCTCTTCATTTTCACTAACTCCAGTTTCTGCTGCCTCTGAACTCTGTTCCCTGTTGAAGAGAAATAAACCAAAGCTTCTTTATTTCACCATATGAATAGGAAGTATACTCTCTCACTATACCAATAAGGAAAGAGGCTTAGGCTGATTTAGAAGCCTGGCCAAGTGAAGTAACGTTAACAAGACTCAGATCTTCTGTGGTTACAGACTACTGCTCTACTATATCAAGTCTTGGATTTCCATCTTACCTTACTAATGTAAGACAGAAATGACTGCCTAAAACCACCAGATAGAAAGTGTAGTTGACAAGCAACAAACAACACAACTATTCTATAAGCCTATCTGTTGGGGGGTGGAAAACCCTAAAACAAAGCAAAAATACAACAGATGAGCGTAGAGTATAGTTTTTTCCAGTCTGTGTTCTTAATGCTCTGTAAGGGAAGGGGCTGCAAGAAGAGGCCATAGGGGAGGTGTCTGACACCCACCATCTATGTAAACCACAGATGTTCCACGTTAATTTTTTAGTATTTTGGGATTCTACTGCTAAAAATGTGTTTAAAACACCACCACTGAATTTATGCTTAAAATTTCATGAATTAGAATAAAATCTTTAAAAGCCTCAATATTTAGTGTTGGTAAGAGTAGGGTCAGATGGAAATTTTTATGCAGTAGCTAAGACAGTAAACACTTGACATGTTAAACATGGAATCTTTTTAAAAAATATTTATTTGGCTGTGTCAGGTCTTAGTTGTGGCATGCAGGATCTTTGTTGTGGCATGCAAACTTAGTTGTGGCATGTGGGATCTAGTTCCCTGACAAGGGATCGAACCTGGGCCCCCTGCATTGGGAGCGCAGAGTCTTAGCCACCAGACCACCAGGGAAGTCCCAAACATGGAATCTTTAATAAGTGGAAAATGTTATTAACAATGTTATCTCTACTCATGCTATACTAATTTTGAGTTAAAAATTAAAAAGCATATAAATTAAAGAGTTACATTTTCAGTTCTCCTAAGTGTTAAATTTAAACACAGACACACAGTTCCATGTAAATTAGTTTTAGTATATTACTAATTCTTACGTTTTTCCATTTAACTTTTCTACACATTTAGAATGCTAAACAGTTTCAAAATGTGTAGTACACTCTCAATTTCCATCATTAATTTTACTAAAATTTAGCACTACTGTTTTTTACTAAGATGTTTCCTAAAGTCCATTTTTGTGATATAGTGCTTTAAGAAAAGAAACTGAAAGATGAACCAAGTAGTGAGTGATAGTAACAAAAACAATTGGAGAAAAAAATTGCCTTGATCGATTTCCGGTGGAAGGGTTCAGCTCTGAATTTACATTAATATTGCTTCCAGTCTCAGCTCCAGTGCTTCTAACATATGGTTTCCTTCCCGTTGCTGATAAAGGCTTGTTTACCGCACCTAGTACTCCAGCAGGTTTTGGCTAAAAATTACATATACGCATGTTATTTTATACCTTACTGAAAGGAATACATACAAATTTAGACACATGTAAGGGATACTGTTTCGCTTACGGCCAGGAATTGTTGTTGCTTTGGAAAGTTAAATCCTAAATTTATTAGAAATGATAATTCTGTAAAACTATATCTAAACATAATTACAAATCAAAAGCATTACCTCTACTTAAAAATAACTATGCAATATTTAATTATTCCTGTTGCTCAATCAAAACAAAAAGTGTCCCTAAAACATAGTGAAATACATAATAATTAAGACATAATAAAATGTCTTACAGGTAAACTACTGAGTATATATAGTAATAGTTTAGACACTGTTTATCAAATATTAAATTTTCCTTTGCTCTTTTAGATGTCATATTACCTTTATAGAATATAAACTGTCTAACTTATTAGTACTTTAAAATTATCTTTATCTTACACATCTAAATTTATTATACCATTTTTCAGGGAAATCTGCTTTGTGAATTCTAAATAACTTGAAGCCTATCAGTACTGGTGAGAACACATGGTTGTAATTCTAAAGTGGTTCATGGCAAAAAAAAAAAGCCTGAGAGAACAAATGCTTTAGATGCTGTAATCCACAACATGATCCCTAAGAATCAGGAACTATAAAATCTGAAGGACATTTAAAGGTTATTTCTAAGAATAGCAGAAGTAATATGCACATGAGATAAAGATCCCCCAATTATCTAGTACATAATACCTTTCCTGTTAACAGAAGTACTCTTGTCTCTTCTGAAATATAACTCTTGTCATTACAGAAGTCCTATCAAAAAAACAAACAAAAAAAAGTAAACATACTTTTATTGTCCATACAAGACTTCAAGGCATTCTGCTTTACAATAACAGTTTCATTTGAGCCAAGAAACATATCAAACCATCAAAGCATATTTCATGAACCATACCATAAGTCTAGTTTTAAAATTAACTCAGTGACACACAAGACTTAGTCAAACGTCAGATATAAATTACTTAAATCACATTTTTTTTTGGCAGCGCCACGTGGCTTCCAGGAGCCTAGTTCCCTGACCAGGAATTGAATCCAGGCCATAGTCGGTGAAAGCACGGAGTCCTAACCACTGGAATGCCAGGGAATTCCCTTAAATCACATTTTAAATAAAACACATTTCTATTCTTTCATATGGTTCAGGGCAAACAGTCTCCAGTTTATTCAATGAACTATGTTCTCCACTCTATTATAAAATTTACTTTTTAAAAAAATTTATTTGGCCACACCACGTGGCACACGGGATCTTAGTTCCCCAACCAGGGACTGAAGCCACGCCTCCTGCAGTGGAAGCAAGGAGTCTTAAGCTCTGGACTGCCAGGGAAGTCCCTAAAATTTACTTCTTTGGGGCTCCCAAAGCATCCAAAATGGTACTATGCATATATCAGGCACTTAATATTCACTAAAAGAACCCCACACAGAATCTCAAGAAAATTATCCTTACTGAAAAAAAATCTGTTACTTTAATTAAAAATGATTTGTTTCCTAGAACCATAAGTAGACTGTCCAAATCATAAAGGTAAATACACCATCAAAATCTAACTAAGTCAATTATAATGTTCTTTGGCTGCAGTGATATTAACCAGTTAATAAATGAATTAAACCAAATGTGGACACTGATGATACTTCTGAAAGTTACATCTGTATAAGAGTTCAGTTTGATCCTATGCTGCCTCTATCTGTTAATTACCCTGGGAATAGCACACGAGTAAACCACAATGGTCTCACAGAAGCAAAATGACTTACTGCCGTCTGGAAGTTCATTAATTTGTAAGTAATCGCACTTAAAAAATTATTTTTCTTTTATTAAGTTTACCTTCACACTAGTGTCACAGAAAAGAACAGAAGGCTTAAATGTGCCTATAAAAAGAAATAACACTTTTGGCATGTGTTCTAGGCAAGGCTGTTATCTTTCTTTTCTTCCCCACAAAGGCTTTTATGTAGCTAGAATAAATGTTACATGAAGATATACTATAGCTTCACTAAGCTATCTTAATATGCCTAGTTTTCTCCTGTCTGAATTTATACCATATTAAAAGCAACATATTAGAAAAGGAAATGAGGAAAGCTGATCATTTAAAACAGAAAAAAACCAAAATTATTATTAAGAAGGCAGAAGACATTCTAAGTTTCAATATCAAAACAAAAAACAATTAGAATCAGGTGTAGTGACAAACAGCAATTTAAATTCTTGATGATGTATGAAGATTCTATTTGGGTACTATTCCAGTCATGATAGCCCTGGGTCAACAATAAAGTAAATTTAAATTCAGGAGCTCACTCAGGAGTGTTTATAAAGACCAGTAAATTCAATTAGAACAGAAGTAACTTTGCAATCCTTATTATTCCTATCAAAACCAGGCAGAGTAAATTCTGAGTACTAAATCAAAGTCTGATTAAAATTTTTGTTGAAAATTTTAAATGCCTTATTTTTTCCAATTAAAAATATTAAGGATATTTTTTTAAACAAAGCACAGGGAAGTTAAACTTTAAAATACCACCTTAAAGTAGGTAATAAATAAAAGGCATTCTTTTTGAAAAAGTTTCTTAATCCAAATTAGCTGGAAAAACTTAAAGAGCTTTAGTTAGCTGAAAAATTTACTTACATGGAAAACTTCATTTGCTGACAGCAGAATAAATGTACTATTTATTATTAATACCATTTATTAAATGCTTACTTTGTGACAAACTCTTAGAAACCTAGGTATATTAGTAATTGTTCACAGGTATTATCATCATCTGCGTTTTAGAGATGAAGACACTGAGGCTTTGGAGAGTTACCATGTGTAAGGTCCCTCAAAATTAGAAATGGTTGATTCGAATCCAGGTCTGTCAATTGCCGAGACCAACTCCATTCATTCTAACATTTTATTTCATATATAGATGTATATATATTTATACTCTACCAAATATTTTGTTTACTTCTTGTCTGAAAAAATACTAACAGTGTTTTAATGAGATGAAAACAATTTAAGAAATTTGAAAATTCCTCTTACATATTAGAAATATCCAGAAGGAATAGCTCACATACGAACACCACCACCAAGCTTGATTTGTATTCTCTACTCTGTAAGGTGAGAATGATATTTTTCAGGCTTTGGAAGACAATCTCCCATTTCTTGATAAACTCACAGAGGTTTTTTTTTTTTTTTTTACTCTGTAGTCAAGACAATCCAATACTTGCCACTAGGGTTGATGGTAACAAATTTAAATAGGTTTAGTATGGTAGAAAAATGAAGGGAAGAATACCTTTTCAGGTTGTGTAAAAAATTTCATTGGAAGGACCGGATCCTTTGGTGAATCTGCATTGCATAAAGCACTTTTACTATTTATAACACACAGGGCCACATCACACACTGTATAAAGTTTCTGGGGAGGAAAAAAAAAAAAATCACATATACCTTTCAGTAGTGAAAAATAACCACAAGTACCAATTCTAACCAATATATAAAATTGAATCAAAACAATAATATGGGGTTATTATTTATTCCTTGAACATTCTGCATTTGTATTTGGCATTTCTTCTTATGTAGCCTCCTAGTAAACAACAACAAAAAAGACCCCTTCATCTTAATTTAACATGAATGCCAAGTATGTGTTAAAAACAATAAACCAAACTAAAGGAAACATACAAAAAGAATATCTACTTGTCTGTAACTCTTACTAAAAGTTCTTAAGACAGCATAGTTGTAAATTTTACTAGTTCTTATTCCTGTGCTCTGTAAAAGTTTTAATATCTTTTTCAAAGTAATAAATGTTCTTCAAATAATAGAATTCAATTTAATGAAATAAAGTAAAAACTAAGTATGTATTTTTAATAAATGTTCTGTATTTTATTATGTAATAGTTAGGAAAAACGAGTGGGACAAGGGTCATAATATTTTTTCCTGTAATATCTTAATACCCACTGGCCTAATATATATCTTACTTCATTTGTCTTGGATTCATCTGGAGACTGGGCATCTTTTGTTAGCTTGATGTTCTCTGCCATCTTTTTCATAAAGGCATGGCTGTTATTTTCATTCTTTGTCATCAAAACTTCAAGCATGAACCACAGGCACCTAAATGACAAACATATTCATTTAGTAAAGAGACTGATTGTAGGTGCTTTTGCTTAAGGGATTTAATAGCTTACTGGGAAGTTCTGTTGTCTGAATATAATAAGAGTATAATACAGAGAAAACGCTAATGATTAACAGAAATATCCTGTTAATAATATTCAATTCAAATAGAATCATATCACAAATAACAAATATGAACATATAGCTTAATATGAGAAAGTCTGACAGTTTCATGAGGCAAAGATTCATTCTATAGGTATTTAATAAACATTTAGATGATATAACGTGTATTAATATCCAGCAATGATAAGCGAACCAGCATACAGCACAGTCTTGCCATTTTGACTATTTGCAAGGTATGTAGAAGATCTAAGATTTGTATGTAATTCTACTGTGACATAACTGAATTTCACATGCTATGAGGCTGGTGTGCATAGTAACCAGTAATTCAGCTAAATAGTCACATCTCAAACCATTTTTGCTGTTTTCTACTTGTTACTTTATATTCATTTAATACATAAAGTGTCTGAAGGTGACACCTGAATTTCTAAGTAAAAATGAATCCCAAATCAGGATGAACATTAGAATCACTTGGGGAGCTTACATCGACAAATCTAGGATCAAAGCCTATTATTAAGTTCCCATGATGATTCTCAGGCAGCCACCATGGACTTACAGTTTTACTCCATCAACAGGAGAGAAAAAACATTTTATGATAATCTCTGTATACTTCTTTGGCTATAGTATATGTAAATGTCTTAAGAGACTACTGTAAGGGGGAAATAGATTAATGTACTTTGTCTTTAGTAGACCTGTCTTACAAGAAATACTAAACTCAGCCCTTCGGGCTGAAACGAAAAAACAATAGACAGTAACTTGAAGCTGTAAGAAATAAAGAACACTGGTAAAGGTAATCACATAGGTAATATAGAGCCAGCATTACTGAACTTCTGATTTGTAACTCCTTTTTAAATATATGACTTAAAAGGAAAATGCATAAAATAATCATATATATGTAAAATAAAACAATGTATAAAGATATAATTTTATCAATTAAAATATAAAGGGAGTGGAATAAAGTTGTCTAAAAGCAGACTATCTCTATACTCATGAAACTAAGTTGCTATTATTCTAACTAGGCTGTTACAACGTTAAGATGTTAAGTGTAATCATTAAGAAAATAACTAAAAAATATACACAAAAGCAAGGAATCAAAAAGGTTCCCTACAAAAAACAACTACAGCTGACCCTTGAACAACACAAGAGTTAGGGGTGCTGACCCTCTACACAGTTCAAACCTGTGTTGTTCAAGGGTCAACTGTAAATACAAAAACGAGAGGCTATGGAGCAATTAAGTAACAAAAAATAGGTAAGACACAGAGAAAACTAACGGCTATATGGCAGAAGTATTCCTTATCAGTAATTACTTTAAATGAAAATAGATTAAATCCCCCAATTAAAAAGCAGAGAAGCAGAGTACATTGGGGGGGGGGGAAGATCCATCTATATCTTATCTACAAGAGACTCACTTTAGATATAAAAACACAAATTATTTGAAAGTAAAAGGATGAAAAAAATATACTCATTCAAACAGTAACCAAATGAGAGCTGGTGGCTATTTTAGAATTAGACAAAATGGATTGCAAAAGACCCAGAAGGACTATATTGATGAAAGTAAAACCAGTAAGAAGATATGACTATTATAAACACATACGAACCTAGCAACAAAGCCCCAAAATCTATGAAGCAAAAATTGACAGAATTGAAGGGAGAAATACATGTTTCCACAATAACAGATTTCAATACCCTATTTTCAATAATGGATGGAAAAACCAGACAGGGACTAAAAAGAAAATAAAGAACTTGAACAACACTATAAACCAATAAGATATCAGACATATATGGAACACTCCAAATAACAATAGCAGAATACACATTTTTCTCAAGTGAACATGGTATAGTCTCCAGGGCAGACCGTATGGTAGGCCATAAAACAAGTCTTAATAAAAAGTATCTTTTCTGACCAGAATGGCATGAAACTAAGTCAATAAAAGAAGGAAAATAGGGAAAACTGGAAAACTCACACATATATGGAAATTAAACCACACATTCCTATGTTTTTTTTTTGGCCGTGTGGCTTGTGAGATCTTAGTTCCCTGACCAGTGATTGAACCCAGGGCCTTGGCAGTGAAAGCAGAGTCCTAACCACTGGACCACGCCAGGGAATTCCCAAACCACACACTCTTAAACAACCAATGGGTCAAAGAAGGAAATCACAAGAAAAATTAGAAAATACCTTAAGACAAATAAAACAAAAACACAACATACCATACTTATAGGATTCAGCACTGGTAGTACTAAAAGGGAAATTTACAGCGATAACACCCTCTGTTAAGAAACAACATCTCAATGAATGATCTAACTATACCTTAAGAAACTGTACACCTTAACTAGAAAAAGAAAAGTGAACACTTCAAATTACATGGTAACTTAAAATGAAATGTTTAAAGATACTCAAAAGTACTGCATGCTAGATAGAACCAAAAAGTATGTGCCAGTGATTTCAATCCTAACTGACGACTTCAGTACTTCTCCCACATCACTGTTGCCTCTCGCAAATCTAATCCCTTTTTCACATGACTGCCTTGCAACTGAAATAGGGCTAAAAAGGTTCCTTAACACAGACCTTGTGTTCTAGGCAAATACATACATCACCTTTTCACTTTATGAAAGTGCTTTCTGGAAAATCCCAAAATAAAAGTTATTTAAAAAAAAAAGGAAAAAGAATTTGCAAATAAAATATATTTATTAAGTAAACAGAAACTAGAATTGGAAGATATTTTAGGGATTATCTATTTCATATCTTGCATTTTATGGATAAGGCAACTGAAGCAGAGAAGTAAAGTTTTTACTCAGATAGCTAAGACTAGAACCTATGTCTCCTGAAAGAGCTACAGGAGGCAGAGATAAACTGTTGATTACAACCTCAAATAAGATTAGGGATAAGGCTTCATGTCACATATAGAAAAATCATAGTACTTTAAATACAAGCTGAAGGAACCAATTTAAACGTGCAAAGCAAAAGCACAGCAATGGGAAAACAGACATTGCTTTAAAGTTTCTTGGAGGTCATTTGTAGACAATCCTAGGCTACTTCATACTTGTTCACTCACCCTGCATCATATATAAAGTTCTATTTTACATAAAAACACTTCTTAAACAAGTGTTTTGCAATTGTTTACCTGCCTGTCTTTCCACTAGAGACAAATCTCTCTGTGACGGGTGTAACAAATCTAATTTTGTATTACCACAGACCTGCCACAGAGTATCTCGTACGTGTGTGCATATTTTTGAGGAATTATCTTTTGAGGTTGAAGTATAGTTTTAAGGAGAGAAATTTTCACTACATGGCTTTCTAAATTATCAAACTGAAGTAACTGAAGCCCATCTTAATACAAAGGTAAAAATAACATAAAGACCAAATCAACTTATTTCACAGAATCAGCTAAAGCTAACTGCAAACAAACAGGAAACAAACAAAACAACCAAATAGAACTTATTAGATAGGAACAAGTTTGTAAGATGAAACTTAAAATTTACAATAGAAGAATAAAACCATAAAGATGTTTTTATTCTTAAAAAAAAAAAAAAAAAAAAAAAAAAAAAAAGATGTTTTTATTCTAATGCGAATAGTAAAAGGAAAAAGTTTAGCATTTTTTAAAAAGGAAAAATAATTGTTAGACTTATTAAAAATCAACATGACTTACTCTTTAATATCACGAAGTTGATCAACATCTTGTGATCTTGTAAAATCTGGATCATGGGCTAGCAGGTGAATCATATACGGAACTACATACTCAGGCAACAGTGATAATAATTTCTCTGAAGTGAAAACATTATTATTAACAATAGTAATAATAGCCTTTATAAAAATCCCTCCCTAATTTACGTTCTAACCGCTTCAGTTAACATTTTTTCCCTCAGTTATTTCTAAATTAGAGGCAACATGACATCTAGATGATACTGAAATAACTTTTTTCAATTTTGAAGGCTACTGAAGACAAAGGATAATTTAAGATTGAGTCCCTGGCAAAGTTAGGAAAGTAATTCTTTACTCTCTGACATCAGAGCAATGTATTCAAATCAAGCCACACTGCAGATTCCATAAGAAAAAACGCAGTTCCCCCAAACAGTTTTATGCATTATAAATAGGACTCAGAAACCAGGATTTTAGATTTTACTTACATCTTAGCTACAACAACAGCATTCTATAAAGGTCCCAGTGTTATTATAAACTATAATAGAAATATATGAAATAAAACCCTCCACAAGTTGATACACTGACAAGATATATCTGCACACTGAGCACTTTGAAAGTTACTTACCAGTAGCCATGGGGTTCTGTTTAATGTACTCCCTGCGTATACTGATATTTTTTAGTAAACACTGTCGTGCATGTGCTCTTCTCTCCTTCACAGGATCTTTGGCACACAAGGCAAAGATCGCCATATACTCCAATGGGAGGAGTAACTTCACAAGTGCCTTATGTAGCTTCTGAGCAAATATCTGCCTTACTTGATAGCACTCATCCTACAGCAGCACAAAACCAAAAATACTTAAATAAAAGTATTAGTACTTTTAAAACCATGACAAAAACCTAGTTTAGTTTTTAAAAATTGGCATTTACAAAAAAACAATTTAAGCATTTTTAATGTCTTCATTTAAAAAAAAAAGATAATTATACTGAGGGAGTAAATAACTTAATTTTGGGGAGTTAACTGGTTAGAATAGTAATAATAGCAGTCCCTTTTGTGCATACATCCATACAGCAAATGGATCTGTAATCTATAGAAAGTAAATAAATTTAACTTTGAAGGCCAAGTAAATGACAAAAATAAGATTGTTACTTACATTAATAACAAGCGCACAGAGCTGAAACTGTTCTGGGGTTATAATTTCATGGTAACAAGGTTCCTGAGCAAGCTTCATTATGGCACTACCAGCAGCTAATCGCAAGCGAGACATATCAGATTTACTATAAACAAACAAAAAAGAAATAAACATTTCCTATAACCATTATCATTCACAAAACTCTTTGATCCCTTTTTGACTGTTAAGGTCTTTAGCATAATTTATGCTTAAAATGACATAATGTACAAATATGGGAAATTTACTTTGAGTCCTTCAATTCAACACAGGGCAGAAGGCTCAAATCATTGTGACTATCTGATATTAAATTTATCTGCCTTCATTTAAAATTTTTAAATTTATTTTATTCAGGTATAGCTGATTTATAATATTAATTTCAGGTGTACAACATAGTGATTCAAAATTTTTATAGATTATACTCCATTTATATTTATTATAAAATCTTGGCTATATTCCCCATGTTGTACAATATATCCTTGTACCTTATTTTATACATAGTAATTTGTACCTTTTAAGCCTGTACCCCTATCTTGCCCCTCCCCATCCCCAACAGTAACCACTAGTTTGTTCTCTGTATCTGTGAGTCTGCTTCTTTGTTATATTCACTAGTTTCTTTAATTAATCAACCAGTCAATCAAATTAATTAACTTTTTGGCTGTGTTGGGTCTTTGTTGCTGGACGCGGGCTTTCTCTAGTGGCGAGCGGGGGCTACTCTTCGTTGCAGTGCGTGGGCTTCTCATTGCGGTGGCTTCTCTTGTTGTAGAGCACAGGCTCTAGAGCGCAGGCTCAGTAGTTGTGGCACACGGGCTTAGTTGCTTTGCAGCTTGTGGGAATCTTCCCAGACTAGGGCTCGAACCCGTGTCCCCTGCATTGGCAGGCAGATTCTTAACCACTGTACCACCAGGGAAGTCCTCATTAGTTTCTTTTAATTTTTTAGGTTCTATATATAAGTGATAACATACGGTATTGTCTTTGTCTGACTTATTTCACTAAGCATGATACTCTCCAGGTCCATCCATGTTGTTGCAAATGGCAAAATTTCATTCTTTTTTTATGTTTGCCTTCGTTTTTAGTTACACTCTAGCTTAGATCTTCCACCACAGCTAAGCAACTCTGCTTATGCATACAACAGCACTAACTGCAACGCTAGCAAGAAACATTTACATTAGGAACTGTATTTCTCATTTTAAGAGGCATTCACATTCATCATAGAAAACTTGATATTAAAAAAACCTGAAAAATTAAAAATCACTTATTTAAAATCTATTGTATTTCCCACAATTTTTAAATGCATACACATATTTACACAGACATAACAGAAATCAATCTTAAGCCTACAAATGTCTGATGAAATGGAGGGGGCTATGAATTAGGAGGTGATCTGTACCAGAAAGTGGGAGGCATCAGACAAATATCTAAAAGGAAAGGATATGGAGGTGAGAGCCAGTCTCTCTCAGGTACTAGTCTCTTTCCTTTGCAACAGGAAGTTTTCCAAGGGACTCCAGGAGTCCAGGCACTCCCACCCACACCCAGTCAACCTTTATAAACTAAATGATAAAATGTGACAGTGAGGTGGTGAAAGGATAGTCTTCTTACTTCAACTGCTATAAGGAACATAACACAGCTTTGATATTTCAAAGACTTTAGGAAATGTGGAAAGCTGCCCTGAATCCACAAGGGACTATTATTTAGCATACAGGAGGAGAAAACATGGCACTCTTGGACCACATGACCATCAAACTGAGCACTGGTAACAATGAGGAACCCTCAAATGGCTTTAGAGGCAAATGATTCAGGAATTTAAAAAAATTAATGCTACTATTTGTGTACTTAACTCTGTAAGATGAGGAAACTGAGGCTTAGGAAAGTGACTTATACAAGTTCACACAGCTAGTAAATGGAGCGTAGGTAGAGTTGAATAAGTTTCTGATTCCAGAGCCTAAGCTAAACTATGGGATACATAACATCTAATTAAGATCTGCATAATATTTCATAACATGTGTGTTCCACAGTTAACCATTCCCCTATCTTCTGTGATGATAAAAAATGCTGGAAAGAACATGTTTGTATATGTATTTTTGTATGATTCTTTTATAATTTCATGAGTGTAAAAATAAAGAGTCAAAAAAAAAAGTCAATGGATAACATTTTTAAGGACTTAGAAACAAAGTGCGAAACTGTCCTGCCAAGACTGTGCCCATTTATATTCACAGGATTTATGAGGAACCCATTTCCCTGATCCCATGGAGTGATGATTGCTTAAAAAACTTTTTGCTGATTTGACAGACAAGAGGTTCCACTTAAATTAAAATTGTACTTATTGTATTTAGTGATGTCAAACACTTTTTTAAAGGTGAACTGGTAATATATAATCTTCATCTTTATTGGGGATCCTATTTATCATTGATTTGTAAGAGCTCATTATTAAGCCTTTGCTGTACACTGTACATAGTTTCCCCAAATTTAAAACTTCTCATTATCCCTACTCTTCAATCTGTTCGTGCATAGCTACCCTTGGCTTATTTTATGATAAAAATAATTTTTGATTTAGTTTTAGTTTTCTTCAGTTTATCAGAGCATTCAGCATCTCTACTGTAATTGTGCATTTCCTATCTCCTCCACTAGAATGCACATACATTCCTTAGAGGGAGAGATTATTGTATCTTTAAAAGGCTTGGTAGTACCTGGCACCTGATAGTGCTCAATAAATACTGAAAGCATAAATACATAGTTAAATCTATCCTCTAACAAAAATTTTAAAGTAAGAATCCATCACAAGTAGAACTTTTCAGTTATTTCAGCTGGACCCTAGTAAATAAAAAAATTTGGCTTTTATTTTCATCTTAAAAGGAACAGAAAGAAGAAATGGTGATCTCACAGATTTGAAGAGTGAACAGGTGTAGAAATGAAACAAAATTTTTTTTGGCATTTGCAGAACCTTGTATAGTCTTCTGCAAACCATTAGGAGGCTGCATCTCTTTCTTCTTTGAACCTACACTGAAATTTTTATTCCCTTCGTGGCATCAAGACACTCTACTTGTTCAATCACTATACTAGGGGTAAGTTCCTTAAAGGCAGGAATGGAATTTTATCTGTTATTGCTGCAATGCTTTTTGTAGTGTTTTGCAAAGAGTAGTAATTCAACAAATATTTGTTTAACTGATTCAAATGCTGAAGTTAACTGTAACAATGCTGTAGTGATTATTACTAAAAATTTACTGGAAAAAAAAATTTACTGGAAAAAGGTGTCTTTAGGGATGAAGAAAGATACATGATCATTATTCAGATATAAACCCCAAATAAGTATGTAAAATTTAAACACAAAGCACATAGTGCAATTACAACAGTCAATATTAAGTAAATAATTCCTATGTAAGCTCTACCAACATCTTGAGCTAAAAAAACCTGGAAAGGAAGAAAAATCTCACCTGATCTTCTTTTGCTCTGTCAGGTCACCCTCACTAACCAACATCGCTGATAATAACCGAAGAGTTGAATTGGCAGATTTAGATTGGTTGTTTTTCATACCCAACAGCCACCTTACCAGAAGTTTAATTGCCTGTACCTATAAAATATTAACATGCTAAAAAAAGAAAGCAACTTAAAATTCCACTTAAAGGTTAGATTAATTTATGTTAATTAGATTAGTGAGATTACTTAGCTGCCGGAAGACATGTTTTATTAAACAAGCCTATAGGATAATAACAATGAGAATACTTATTGTTTAATCTATGCCAGGTACTTTCCCCAGAGTTACACATATATTACTTTATTTAATCTCCCAAACAACTCTATGAGAGAGGTATTTTTTTTTTTCCAGTACGCGGGCCTCTCACTGTTGTGGCCTCTCCCGTTGCGGAGCACAGGCTTCAGACGCGCAGGCTCAGTGGCCGTGGCTCATGGGCCTAGCTGCTCCGCGGCATGTGGGATCTTCCTGGACCGGGGCACGAACCCGTGTCCCCTGCATTGGCAGGCAGACTCTCAACCACTGCGCCACCAGGGAAGCCCCGAGAGAGGTATTCTTATTTCCAATAAATAAGGCAACTTAGACACATTACTGTGATAACTTGCCGAAGGTCTGGCTCCTTGAATTCAGACTTTTCACACCTGAACAACTGCTTTTCAAATCATTTAAAAATATATTGTTTAAAAATAACTGAACTATACTGATTACAGTGATTAAAAATAACTATTTAGATAGACTGTAATATTTTTTGTAGTACTGAAAAACTATTTTGATTAAAAAACTAGGAGATTTCATAATTATTTGTAGCCATAATTGCTTGGTGGCTTATACTCAAAAGATTGTTATGGAATACATGCAAGAACTAGCTAAAGGATGTAGATATTATTTACTATATTTACTGACAACCTGGAAAAAGGAACTGATGGAATAGATGAGGACTGTGAAGCTACAAGGTGAAATAGATTATCAATCAAGTAAGATGATAATGAAGAAGTCTTGTTTTAAATCCCAAGACTACCACTTTAAAAATTAGCTTTCCTGAGGGATAATTTACATCTATCAGAAGTTTTCAATATGATGACAGCCATCTGTTTTTGCCAAGTTAATATTCTTATGCCTGTAGACAGACATTGGTAATGAGGCTAGGCCTGAGGTGCTCTGAGCATCAATATTCTACAATCTCTATGTAAAACAGCCTCACTGAAATTACCTTAGCAAGGCAGGAAGGTCTAAAGAACATGCTGACATACACCTATATGTAAATAAGTCAATGACAACCACAATTTGAGAAACATACTTTTTTTTTTTTTTTGCAGTACGCAGGCCTCTCACTGTTGTGGCCTCTTCCGTTGAGGAGCACAGGCTCCGGACGCACAGGCTCAGCGGCCATGGCTCACGGGCCCAGCCGCTCTGCAGCATGTGGGATCTTCCCGGACCGGGGCACGAACCCGTGTCCCCTGCATCGGCAGGCGGACTCTCAACCACTGCACCACCAGGGAAGCCCACAACTTTTGATTTAAAAATAAAGTACCTCATTTAAAATGCTTATTAACTGTTAGGTTTAAAAAAAAAAAAGGGTATCTATAAATGTTCTTTATCTCAACATAAAAGTTATTAAGACCTACACAAATTTACCTTTGCTAGTACTTCAGGGGAAACCTCTTCATCTGGAGACCATAATTTCCCATTCTTCTCACCTGTTGACTATAGACAATTGAATAAATTTAACTTTTAGAAAAAAATTGCAAATTTTGCTCATTAAGTTTTTCATGCTGAACAGTGCAGTGCTCTAGGAAACCCACAGAAAGTCACCAAGTAGGGACTTGAAAAGAAGAACAAAGTTAGAGGGCTCAAACTTCCTGATTTTGAAACTTAACTACAAATCTATGAGAATCAAGACAATGTGGCTGGTACCTACATAAGTATAGACATATAGACCAATGGAATGAAACAGAAACCCAGAAAACCTCACATATATCACATATATGGTCTACTGATTTTTAACAAAAGTGCTAAGAGACCATTTATTGGGAAAAGAACAGTCTCCTCAACAAATGGTGCTGGAAAAACTAGATACAGCAACAAGCAAAGGAATGAAGCTGGACTATTACCTTATATCATATATAAAAATTAACTCAAAAAAATGGACCAAAGATCTTTACTTAAGACTAAAAAACTCCTAGAAGAAGGTACAGGGGAAAATCTTTATAATCCTGGATTTGGCAAATACCTGACAAAGGTCTATATTCAGAATATATAAAGAATTTTTACAACTCAACAGCAACAAATTCAATTAAAAGTGGGCAAAAGACTCAATATCCAAAGAACCATCATTAAGCACATGAAAAAAAATCTCAACATCATTAGTCATTAGGGAAACAAATCAAAACCACAAGATACTACTTTGCACCTACTAGATGACTATTATCAAAAAAAACCAGGAAAGAATAAGTGTTGGCCAAGATGTAAAGAAACTGGAAGCCTTGAGCATGGCTGCTGGGAATGTAAAATGGTATAGCCACTGTGGAAAAATGTTTGGCAGTCCCTCAAAAAGTTTAGCATAGAATGACCATGTGACCCAACAATTCCACTCCTAGGTATATACCCCAAAGATTTGACTTTGGGGACTCAAATGTTCATATCAGCATTATTCACAACAGTCAAAAGGTAGAAAAAACCCAAGGGTCCATCAATAGAAGATAAACAAAATGTAAGTTACACATACAATGGAATACTATTCTGGCATAAAATGAAGTTCTGATACATACTACAACATAGCTGAATCTTGAAACCGTTATGCTAAGAGAAATAAGCCAGACACAAAAGGATAAATATTGTATGATAAGAGGTATCTAGAATAGGCAAATTCATAAAGCAGGAAAATAGAATAGAGGTTACCAGAGTCTGGGGGGAGAGAAGGCAATGGGGAGTTACTGGTTAATAGATACAGAGTTTCTCTCTGAGATGATAAAGTTCTGGAAATAGTGGCAATGGTTACACAACAATGTGGGTGTATATTTTAGGTGGCGGCTTGGGCCATTGTTGAGAGTTGCTTGGCTTTCCTGGGTTATCCTCTGTGTATACAGGAGGTACACGTTATTAAACTTCTGTTTGTTTTTTAAACAAAAAACACCCAACAACAAGAATGTGGGTGTATATAATGTAAGAGAACTGTACACTTAAAAAGGGATAAAATGGCAAAGTTTATATTATTTATATTTTACTACACACAAAAAAAGAGAACTATATTAAAATAGAATTTATCAACAATCAAGTCATCATCTAAGAAGTGTCAAATTTCACATCTGTTGCCAGCCAAATCTATCAGTAGTGCAAAGAACAGATGTATGGAGTAGGAAATGAGGCTTTGGCCATGCTCTTGCATCCCTATCACATCCAAATGGAGGGAGGGAAAAGGGTAAGGAGTGCGCTGGCAAGTATTTTTTTTTTAAGTTCCAGTACTGAGTGTTCAAAGGCTACTGGACCATTTAGAAAGACTAGATAAATTGGATAAGTTAGTACTGCACTGAAAGTCATCCACAATGATCCAGCAGGTAGACTGATTTGTGTCTTCATTCAATAACTCTTTAATTTAGATCTGTTTGGTAAAGTGGTGATTCTTAATCAGACACGTGTTTCAGTAATCACTTGGGGAGCCTTTTCAAGCTATACATCCCAAAGCTCCAACCCAAAGCTAATTAATCAGTATGTGTGCACGCATGTGTGCATGCGCACACACACACACTTCAATAACTAAAATAGAATACATAATCTAGTGCCAAAAGTGCAATGTAATTATATTTCAAAAAGCTAGTCAAATACAATTCCACTTATACTTTAAACAATATTTGATAAAATTCTAGTACTCTAGTTAATTGTCCTTCATAGTGTTTGACTTATACTTTTTACTTCATGATTCATCTATCTCATGTTCTCATTTTTTTCTTTCTTAAAAAAAAGTTAAGTTCTAGTAATAATAGCTACACAGCAGGATGTCATTTGGAAATTTAAGTAAGTAAATAAGGAGGTAAAATATATAATAATTTTAAAGTAAAAGAGAATCATACATAGAGAGAAGCAGAAGTGTTGTTTCTGTGAGAAATAAAGATGTAAACAGTCTTAGTCTTATGATTCTAAATTTAATTAAATGAGAAACTTACCCTGTCATTCATTAGCAGATCTTTCACAATAAAATTTGCTACTACAGATTTCATTGGGGAAGCAAATTGATCTGGTGCTAACATAGATATGTGGCCCAATGAAACTAATGGAGTTATAAGTTGTTCTGGTACATCAGCATTGAGACTCCTACTGAGTGGCTATAAGAATAAAACAGTCAAAATTACTAGTTTGTTTTATAAATATCTAGACATTGTACAGAAACAGTAAATGTTCCTGAGTCCTCCTGAATTTATCATGCCCCAAAAAATCTGTTCTAATGAGATGATCAAAAGTAACTTCAATCATATTAGACACTTGATTCTTATTTCACCTACCGAAATTTAATAAGATTCAAAGGTAAACAAAGATAAAAGAAAAAAGTAAAGCCCACATATAAGGTAGAAGTAAAAGCAAGAAAATTCCTGCATGGTCAAATCAGCATTATTTTCAAGTCATGTACAATAGTTTTGTTATGTTGTTGAATTTCTTAACCTGTGGGAACATTTTAAATGACCATGGATCATAAAAAATAAGAGTTCATGGGTTCTGTTCATATTGTATCCAATTTATGATAATAGGAATACTTTTCCAGTAGTGGAATCAGGCAAAGGATCATACATAAGGAAAGGCAAACAGAACTAATTTTCAAGTAGGATTGTCCAGAATTTTAAACTGGGTGGTTCAAAGTCATCTACTGATAGTTTCTTAAACTAAATGGACCACTGAGCCAATAAAGCTAAAATTAAGTAAAATGTTGTAACACAAAACACACCAAACATCTTTCAATATGCAGTATTTGGTTATATAGTCTGATCTAAAGGCTGGGAATATCTAAAGTGCTGAATAAAACAAAGAGTCCCTGCTCCCATGGAATTTATATTCTAGAGTGGGACTAAATAGCTAAAAAACCAACTTTCTATCTTCATCAAACAACAGAGCATGAAAATAAAAATCAACAACACATCCTATGTAATTATATATACCTCAAAAATCTGTGCAAGCTGTACTTCTTTATTTGTGAATATGGCATGTATACAGTGAACGGCCTGTTTTGCTTGGTGGGGAGTACCTCTCTTTGCTTTCTGATGTAAGATGGGAATTAAGGTCCTGCAAAAAATAATAATCAGTTAAAAAAAAAAAAAGCCCATAAACCACAAGTAGTTCTTCTGGTTGTCTCCTACTTCATCTGCAGTAACTATCTGGATGTATGCTGGTAGAAAGCCTCTCTTCTAAATTACCTGATCTATAAAAAGATCTAAAACTCCTTCCCTGTCCCCAAGTATAATCCCAGAAATACAATGCCTCAAAAAAAAGGGCTACTACAGAAGACAATTTTCATTTTAAAGCCACCTCATGAATATGGAGAAATAAACAAGCCACCCTTAATTTATAATCTAAAATTGCCCCATGATATATTTTTACATTTATTTTCTGAGAAAATATTCCTAAATTTTCCACTTCCCTTTCACAATTCCTTTCAGTTATATTTAAAAAATTTTTTTTAAGAATCAAGTGTTTTTCTGTTTTTGTTTTTTTAAATATTTATTTATTTATGGCTGTGTTGGGTCTTAGTTGCAGCATGCAGGATCGTTTGTTGTGGCTTCTCTCTAGTTGTGGCACATGGGCTCCAGAATGCATGGGCGCAGTTGCAGTGCGAGGGCTCTCTAGTTGTGGTGCATGGGCTCCAGAGTGTGTGGGCTCTCTAGTTGTGGTGCAGGGGCTCAGCAGTCGCGGCTCATGGGCTTAGTTGCCCCAGGGCATGTGGGATCTTAGTTCCCTGACCAGGGATCAAACCCGTGTCCCCTGCATTGGAAGGCAGATTCTTAACCACTGGACCACCAGGAAAGTCCCCTGTTCAGTTATTTTAAAGCAACCATGGGGGGAAATAAAGTAGCAAAAGGCCAAGTTACATTAAAAAACAGAAATGAACATACCAGTGAAAGAGAGTATGCAAGGATATAGACAATACATAGGTAGAGAAGTAACAAAAACTTCTAACAATTATTGAGTACTTGTGCTAAGCACCCTTCTAAGTGGTGTTTTTAAAACAAAACAAAACAAAACATGGATTACTTAAATGAATCCTCACAATCACCCAAAGACTATTATTATGATCATTAAACAGATGAGAAAACTAAAGCACAAACATATTATTTATGTAAGCTTCTTAAGGTGACAGAGATAGGAAATGGTGGAATTGAGATTTAAAGATAAACATTTCTGGTCAGGGAACTAAGATCCCACGTGCAGCGGGGCAACTACGGAGCCTGTGCGCTGCCAACTACAGAGCCCATGCGCTCTGGAGCCCGCGTGCCACAACTAGAGCAAAGCTCATGTGCCACAACAAAGAACCCACGTGCCACAACTAAGACCCGACGCAGCCAAAATTTAAAAAATAAAATAAAATGGAAATTTTTTTAAAAAGATAAACATTTCTGTTCCAAATCCATGCACTTAACCACCACACTGACACTGAAGATTTACAACAATCTTTCTATAGAATATGGAAATACATATTACAGTCAATGCATTAAAATTGGCATACACATCAAATAGATAAAACATTCATAAAAAAATATCAAAATGTTAACACTGACTCTTTTCCTTTATATTTTCTAAAGTTTCAGCTTTTTACAATGATCTTATAAGTAGTTTTTTAAATCAGAAGAAAATCTGTAAAGCAAAACAAATATTTAAGGAAAGATACTTGTCATATATTTAATGCAATAAGACTACTTCATAAAGGTCAATGATATCAAATGCAATGGTGACAAAGGGTCCTCTTATATTAATGGGAGGCTAGACATTAAGAGCAATGCACCTCAAAAAAAAACCGGGAACATATGCTGGTCAGTCTAAGTCGAATTTGATATTTATGAATATGACACATTTCCCTCCCTGCAGTTTAGAATAATGAGAAGGATTTTCATGCCAAAATAGCTTCCTTGACTAGCACTGTTTAAGTCTTTCTTTGAAATTCATTTATCAGGGGAACAGTTCTTGTAAATAACACCAGTTAGTAACAAAAGAAGATACAGCGTTGATCAAATTGTTGTTAAATATATTATTAATTCTTCTTAGCCTAATGAATGGATGATGCATAGGTCAAGTTTAACCTTTCTCCTTGTTTTTCTAGTGTGCTACAATCCAGTGATGCCACCAGTGTTGTTACTGAGGTCCGCAGTGCTGTCCTTCTCTGCTTTTTCAGTGATTCTCTCCTTCCTTCCCCATTAATCTTAAGAACAAGAGGTTTTAGTCCTTGTGTCCAAAGTTAACTCTTCCACTGCTTCCTCTGGGATAGAATTCCTTTAAGAATAAATCCTTTACCTTAAAAAAGTATAGGTTTTCCCACCTTGAAAAACTCACAAATTAACTTTATCCTGTGTCAATGATCTTTTTCTATAATGTACGAAGATAAAATTATCATTTCTAGACTATAAACTCCTTAAGAGCAGGGACTGACAGTGGTAATCTTTTATATTAGCCAGTACAGTGCCGACAATGAAGAGAATGTACAATAAATGTTGAGTTATTTCTCAAATTAAACTATTAGCTTACAAATTCAATAAAAACTTTTAGGAGTCATGAGTCCTCTTGTCCTATTATTACCTCGTAAGGAAAAACGGGTTTAATTTGGATTTACCCCAGTCTATTTACATATATATAATAACATCCGATTATAATAGCTATCAGCAATGTGTTCTTCCTCCAAAAGACATCAGCACAATTTTGATCCTAAGGCAAGCTCTTTAAGATGCCTAAGTAAAAATACCAAAACATACTTCATTCTTACGAGGAGAGGGGAGGTAGTCTAGAAGAAGAGACAAAAGCACCATGGCCAACAACTAAGCAACGAATAAACATTTTATTAAGCACACTACTTGGTTATCCAATTCTTGGGTGGGATATGAAGGTAGTAGTTATTGAATTTGGAGTTGGAGAGAAAAAGATAAATTAGGAAGATATATTAATCCTAAATTCTATACTAACTTTTGATTGTTAATATTAATATTTTGAAATCATGTTGTTTAAACAAAGTTTCAGGTTGTTCCTCTGCCAATATTCTAATGGTAGAGGAGGTGTGTGAGGCCGAGAAAAGATGAAAACAAAGGATACAGTAAAGTAGCTTCTAAATAAAAGTTGTCTTTCCTCTCTCCTATCTTCCTAAGGAAAAGGGAAACAATGATCCTATGACTCCCAAACTTGGAAAACTTTTGTGTTTACCATGAGAAAAAACATACTCACGATCGTATCTGGGGTAGGTCTGTTTCTATTTTGTGGCCTGTATTTCTAAAAATTTGTATAGCAGCTTCTGCTACCTTGTCATCTTCCATTCTGAGGCACTGTAACAGGGACTCATATGTCTCTGCAGAGTGGAACGAGGTAGGATGTGTGAAAGACAGAACCTAGAGGAATAGATATAACTTTATAAGTACAGACAATGGTTTTAATCCATTAAAAGAAGAGAACTATTTTCTACTACAAATAAAATTTTAAATTATGGGCTGCATATGCTAGCAATACAACTAAGATTATATCTTGCAGTCTCCCTTGAAGTTGAGTTGTGGCTAATGATTCCTGACATACAGCCCTTGCTATATTTTCTTCTTCACCTCTTAGTCTATTCTGATACTGGGAATGTGGAAAATGTGGCTCCTTTTCGTGGAGTGATACTGTGATGCGAACAAAATGCTAACACTGAGCTTTATTTCACTGGCAAAAAGATACTCTATAAGGAAATATTTTAAATGAAATCCATCACAAAAAGTTCACTCATCATAACTAAAAACAAAGAAGCCATTATTGGGAACTCTTAATCACGATTACAAACATATAAATAATTATTCCCTTTATTGAGACGTAAGTTCCAGGCTATCCTTAAGGAATTTACAGCAAGTTAGATACGTATCTACAAAGTTTACCTTCCACGAAGTAGAAACAATTTAGTTAGCATAATACAGGCAGTAAGGGCCAAAAGTAGAAAAATAAGGAGGTGGGGGGAATGGAGTATGTAAACCCTCATTAACTTATTAAATAAGCATTGTTTTTTCTTTTTTTTGGCTGCATTGGGTCCTCATTGCTGTATGCGGGCTTTCCCCAGCTGCAGCGAGCGGGGGCCACTCTTCACTGCGGTGCACAGACTTCTCACTGAGGTGCACGGACTTCTCACTGCGGTGGCCTCTCTTGCTGCAGAGCACAGGCTCCAGGCGCACAGGCTTCAGCAGTTGTGCCTCCCGGGCTCTAGAGCGCAGGCCCAGCAGTTGTGGCGCATGGGCTCAGCCACTCTGCAGCATGTGGGATCTTCCCGGACCAGGGCTCGAACCCGTGTCCCCTGCATTGGCAGGCAGACTCCCAACCACTGCACCACCAGGGAAGCCCAGCATTTTTTTAATGTGTTATAAAGTGGAGAAAGTGTCTCATTTGGTAGGGTTTACGGTGATAATATTTAGTTATAAGGTTTTAATTATTCATAGAAAAATGGAGATTTAAATTTGAAAATTTGAATCAAACAACCTATTAAAAACATTTGTCTTAAAGATGACTTTACTCTTAAAAGTATTTAAACAGGGCTTCCCTGGTGGCGCGGTGGTTGAGAGTCCGCCTGCGGATGCAGGGGACACGGGTTCGTGCCCCGGTCCGGGAAGATTCCACATGCTGCAGAGAGGCTGGGCCCGTGAGCCATGGCCGCTGAGCCTGCGCGTCTGGAGCCTGTGCTCCACAACGGGAGAGGCCACAACAGTGAGAGGCCCGCGTACTGCAAAAAAAACCCCAAACAAACAAAAAAATTAAAAAAAAAAAAAGTATTTAAACATATTACTCCATTACTAAAAATATAAAGTCTTTCTCATGAAGAATCACATCAGTTCTTTCCATGAAATGATATTTAAGGGAATTCCCTGGCGGTCCAGTGGTTAGGACTCCACGCTCTCACTGCTGAGGGCCCAAGTTCAATCCCTGGTCAGGGAACTAAAATCTCACAAGCTGCTCAGCACGGCCAAAAAGAAAAAGAAAAAAAGATATTTAAGACCATTGCAATACAAACCCATCACTCTCTTTTCTGTCTAATGTCCATTGCACTGGTTTGTTTCTTCTCCTTTAGTTCATATGTTGTAATGATATAAATGTCTCTTAGCCTTTATTTATTTTTTTATTATTATTTTTAATAAATTTATTTTTGGCTGCATTGGGTCTTTGTTGCTGCACATGGGCTTTCTCTAGTTGTGGCGAGCGGGGGCTATTCCTCGTTGCGGTGCACAGGCTTCTCACTGCAGTGGCTTCTCTTGTTGCGGAGCTCGGGCTCTAGGCGCACAGGCTTCAGTAGTTGTGGCTCTTGGGCTCTAGACCGCAGGCTCAGTAGTTGTGGCGCACAGGCTCAATAGTTGTGGCTCGCGGGCTCTAGAGTGCAGGCTCAGTAGTTGTGGCACATGGGCTTAGTTGCTCCACGGCATGTGGTATCTTCCCGGACCAGGGCTCAAACCCATGTCCTCTGCATTGGCAAGTGTGTTCTTAACCACTGTGCCACCAGGGAAGCCCATGTCTCTTAGCCTTTAATTTCTTCTCTTTACTCCATCTAACAAAAGCTCTATCAAGTGCTGTATCATTTTTAAAAAGGAGTGTTAAATGCCCTTGATGGTACCTTTCTGCCCCAATGGCACTCCACAATCTAGAACCAACCTTGTCTTCCATTACTCCCCAAAGCAATACTTTTATCTAGTCAGACTACACTCACAACAATCCCTAAAACATGCCAAGAATTATTCTCTTTGATGATGCTGTGCTCCCCCTAGATTAAATCATGTCTCTTACTAATTGTTCAATTCTCTTAATTCTTTGGCATCTATTATGTTTACCAATTGTTTAAAAAAATCCCAATCAGATAGATGATGTCTTATAGTAATTTCCTGTGAACAGTCCTATTACCCCAGATGCAGGTTATTTGAAAGATAAGACTAGATTATTTAGCACATACTGTTACAAGCATAGCAGGCACGCAAATGATGTACGGAACAGCAAAACCCATAAAGTTATTATTTTATAATGTAAAATAATTATATTATTATAATGTAGAAAACGTGTTATTTTTATAAAATATGATTTCTATTACAAATTTTAATCTTTTGAATAGTTTCCAATGAAATAAAGCCTGACTCTTGCATATCCTTAAGGGGATTCAAATTATGACTGCAGAAAAGACAAACTGTTTCAAAAATACCTTAAGAAGTTCAAGTCCTGAACGAATAGCTGTATCTGGACTTACACCCTCCTCTTCATCATCTGCTGTCCCCTCTATTGATTTATTCATTAGTTTTACCAGTGCACTATTAAAGTAAGAAAATCTAAATTAGTAACACTACTATATTAGTAACTATACCCTAATTACACTGTAGCAGACATACACAGAATCTAAACAACAAATTCAAATATCTTCTGGAAGAAAAAGTTATTTTGTGACTTTAAATTTTGCTCTCTACATAACAACAGAGCTTATTTTTAGTTTATCTGCCCCACCCATGTATAATAAGAGTAATTCTACTGAAAAACAACAAAACTAAAATTAAACGACACATGTACTGGAAATATATAAGTATAAGCAATGTAATATTCATACCCATATATAGAGATCATGTGCAATTTTAAGAAAAACAGTAAAGATGGCAGTTGCTAAATGGACAAATGACAATGCACTCAAAGCAAAAAAACATAGCAAACACTCACATGGACAAAGGCATTAATCACTTATAATTAACACTGAATCGGTAATTCCATTCCTAGAGATTTATAACAAAGAAATTTATAACAATTCATGAGAAGCATCGTGCTAAATATATCCATAAACATTGATCAATTAAAAACTATTTAATTGTCCAACATTATTGAATTAGTTTTCAAATATACCTAACCACCACAAAATGGAATATTGCCTGGTCAACATACTATTTTAAGTAAAAACAAAACATGACCTTTGTTTTTGAAACTTCAATTCTTCATCAGTAAACTGAAGAAGGATATTAAACTTTGAGGATATTAAATTATTACAGCAAATGGCCTAGTACAGGCAAATATTCAACAAATTTAGCTTTCACCCTACCCCAACACAAACCTCTTCCGCATTAGGAGTCACTCCTTATTCACCTCCACCTCCTTCAGCCCCAGGCATCTACTAATCTACTTTCTGTTGCTATACACATTTGCCTATTCTAAATATTTCATATAAATGGACCCATGTAATATGTGGTCTCTGTGAGTGACTCCTTTCATTTAGCATACTGCTCTTCAGGTTCATCCTTGTTGTAGTATGTATCAGTACTTCATTCATTTTAATTCTGGATAATGTTCCAATGTCTGCACATAAGATATTTTATTTATCCATTCATCAGTTGATGGTCCATTTGGGACATTCTATTTTTTGGCTATTATGAATAACATTGCTATAAACATTTATATACAGATTTTGTATGGGCATATATTTAGGAGTGGAATTGCAAGGTCATATGGTAACTCTACGCTTAAGTATTGGAGGAACTGTCAAACTGTTTTCACAAGCAGCTCCACCACTTTACATTCCCACTAGCAATACATGAGGGTTCCAATTTTTCTACATCCTCACCAACTCATCTTTTTGATCACAGCCATCTAGTGGGTGTAAAGTGGTGAATCATTGTGGAGATACATACATAAAACATTGCCATTACCACAAAAACCTGCCTTATGCCTCTTCTGTGGTCAATTCCCTTTTCCTACCCTGGCAATAATAACTGATCTGCTTTCTGTCAATATAATTTTACCTTTTCTAAAGTTTTACATATTTTGTGTCTGAAAACTTTTATGTGACATAATGCTTTTGAGACTCCTCCATGTTGTTGCATAGAAATCAGTGGTTCGTTCCTCTTTGTTGCTGAGAAGTATTTCGTTGTATGGATATTCCACAGTTATGTTTATCCAATTACCAACTGATGGACTTCTGGGTATTTCTATTAAAGACATAAGTAAAGCTGCTAAAAGCAGTTAAGCATAGGTCTTTATGGGAAGTATGTTTTCTTTTATGATGTTTTCTTTTCTTATAGGCAAATGTCTGCCCCATTGGGATTCCTGAGTCGTAAGGTAATGTATGTACATTTAATGTACAACAAACTGCTTTAAATATCACCAACACATGGTTAGGTAAGTCTACATACTCACCAATACTTTGTATAGACAGTATCTTTAATTTTAGCCATTCTAGTGGGTGTGTAGTGGTACTTCTCACTCTAATTTGAATTTGCGTTTCCCCAATGAGTAATAATGTTGATTGTCTTTTCTTGTGCTTATTTACTATTTGTATGTTTTATTTGATAAAGTATCTGTTCAATTTTTTTGGCCATTTTAAAATTGGTTTGTTTGTCTTATCTTCCCATCTGTGGCTTGACTTTTCTTTTTCTTAATGATGCCTTGCAGAGAGGAAAAAAATAATTAACTTTTCTCTCATTGTTTGTACTCTTTATGTCCCATCTAAAATCTTGCTCACCCTGTTATTTTGTTTTAGAATGGTTACCTCTGACATTATACATTTAAAAAAAATTACTTCCAATTTGAGAAAAATATTCTGAATTAAGCTTTCTATTAGAAGGAAATCCCATAAAACGCATGAATTTATTAACACGATTACAAATGTGTTTGATAAAATTTACAAATGTATCTGACTACTCATAATAGAGTCCGTGCATGCGTTTATTTATTGACTACCTACTGTGTGTGAAGTCTTAGGGTCTATCCTGGAAATACAGTGCAAACCAAGACAGGCATAATCTCTGTTTTCATTACAATGTGGGTGGGATCACCCTTATGAGTCAAAAAGCTATTTGGGTGAGACAGACCCAAATCTTGAAGCCAGAACTATAGTCCTTCCTCTTGTGAAAGTATTCTTCCTCATTTCTAAATTAGATAAATAATATACACTCCATATACTTCACAGAGTATGATGAAGCAAAAGATCATCACCAATCCAAATGCATGTTCAAAACTGCTTGGGAAATTATCCATGTGTCCATTTCTCTCCTATCCTATGTAACAACTGTTAAAAATCTTTACCATTCTAACTCAGGTCTATTTTTTAAATCCTTCCACTGAGCAGACTACCTCACTGTTGACATAAAGGAGAACAATGGAGGCCTTGAGTGAAAACTGTAATTTTCCATATCCTATTTTCTAATCTCCTTTAATGCCATAGGGGAAGATTTTCTTCTTCCTGTTCCATTTCTTTAGGGATGGTGCTCTATCCTAGTTCTATTCCCCTTACCCCATCTTCAACCTCTCTTCTTTCCTTTTAGCACCTTTTAAAGGTATGCAAATATTCAAAATCCCTTCATTAAAAACAAGAAAAGACCCTCTTCAACCTTACTCTCTTTCCATCAGCTCATTTTTCTCCTTTACTTTTTATAGCTAAACTGTCTATACTAGCTGTCCCCAAATCCCAATTTATCTCCTATAGCAGTTTAGAAGGGTGATATCCCTTTGATTTTCTCAGACCTCAAGATGGCCAAGTGGTATCTAGTGGGCTCCTACTCAGCTAGGCCAGTCACCTCTAGACTTGAGCAGTTTTCTCTGCTCAAATACTGTAATTTTCTTTGTGTACCATGATGTGGTGTGGAAGGACTATCCTATGTCCTTCTCAATCCATGGTAATCTGGATTTGTCCTTGCTAACCCAAAGAAACTATTCCGGACATTGTAGTGGTTTTCTATTTTCTAAATTCAGTGGATATTTGAATTTACTATTTTACTCTGGGCAGTATCTGACCCCTGACCTCTTTTGACCATGCCTTCTTAAAAAACATCTTTTAATTTAATAAATTCCTTTTCTTCTGCCAGCCTTTTAATTGTTAATATTCCTCAGGATTCAGTCCTCAACCTTTCTCTTTCTAAATTTTACCCTCTCCCCAGGTTTCAATCATTATTACAATCACTACTTCATTTTCAACCACTATCTACAGACCAGTAACTAACTGTAGCATGCATATGTGTATCTGTATGTACATAAGTCTGGGGGAAATATACTAAAATAAATAAATATATTTTAAAAAGTTATACTTAGAATGATTTTCTACTATTCTCAATGCTTCCTTCCCAAATCCTTCATTATGGCTGAAGTATATGCAATTTTCTAAATAATTCTTGATTCCTTTTGCCTTTGTTCTTTTGTGTCTGCTATTTCTCTTCCTAGAATAGCTATTAACATTCATTTAGCACTTAACTATGTGTGAGGCATTATGCTAAGTGTTCTACATACGTATATGTTATTTAAGCCTCTCAAAAACTTCACTTAGTAATTATTATTGTTCTTATCTTAAAGATGAGTAATTTAAATAACCTGCTCAATGACACAGGGCTAGTGGCCTGGTCTGCTCTTCTCCTGCAATCTTCACCTGGCTGATCTCTATAATTCCTACTGATCATTCACTACCCATATTATGTGCCATCTATTTCAGGAGCCTTTTCTAATAACAAATACATTTCACACAATTCAGGTTAGGTAACTCTCCTTCCCCAATTGCCCGATGTACTTTAAAAATCACTCCTCTAAAGGTATGTTTAATGAATAAATAAACCCTCTGTTTGCAATTTATATTCCATGAAAATTTGGTTACATGGAAGGAATCTTATATGACATATATTTCTCAGTAAAATTAATAAATTGGAATTTTGCATAAAATTAGTCTCTTAGACATCCTAACCATAAGTCAGTTGGTTTTTCTGAGCCCAAACAATCATGACACTACTGAAAAAACTGAGTTTTTGGTCTTTTAAGACTGGAGATCAAACACTAGCTTATTATAATTTAGTAAAGTAATGAAACTCTGTGAGGCCTCATGGAGACAAATACCAAAGGCTTCCTGATGCCAATTATATGTCTCTTTCAAAATCAATATGCAAAGGAAAGAGTGCCTACCATTTCCTTGATTTACCCCATTAAAACCAAACGGTATAGAGCAAAGGACACTGACACTGAAAATAATAAATCTCAGTTTAAGTTATGGTTTTTGTTATTACCCAGCTGTAAAAAAACCACCTGGTCTCTCTCAGAACCTTAGCTTTCTTACTTGCAAATAAGGAAATAAAAAGATAAGGAGATCTTAGCTAAAAAAAAAACAAGAAAACTCCACAAAAAAACCCCTACAAACATCACCATTACGAGCTTAATTGTGTACCCCCAAATTCATTGTGTTTAAGTCCTAACCTCCAGTACACCTCAGGATGTGACTGTACTTGGAAATAGAGCCTTTAAAGAGATAATTAAGGTAACTGAGGTCAAATGGGTGGGGCATAATCCCAAATGATTGGTGTCCTTATGTGAAGAGGAAGTTAGGAGACAGACATGTGAGGAAAGCAAAGAGTTATCTCTGCATCCCATGGAGTGAGGCTTCAGAAGGAATCAAACTCGCTGATACCTTGAATCTTGGACTGCTAGCCTCCAGAATATGAGAAAATAAATTTCTGTTGTTTAAGTCACACAGTCTGTGGTCTTTTGTTATGGCAGCCCTAGCAAACTAATACAATTGGAATTTCAATACAACCAAAGCAGTGATTCACATAAGATAAAATAACTAACAGCTAGAACCAGGTCTCCTAATCCAAAGAAAAGAGAATCAATAAATGCTATTTAGTTACCCAACATAAAAAGATATGTAGATAATCTACTGGAAAAATGGTTAGTGCAAGGGAAAAGCAATCTCAGAAGTTTACAACAGAAAATCATTAGAAACAAGTGAAATGCATGAAATTATGGGAACAGTTAATTAAAAACAATAGCTGTCAATGTCTATTATGCTAGTCTGCTTACTTTTTGCATATTATCACTAATTTTCACATTCATATAACAAGATGTTATACCCATATTAAAGTTAAAAATAAACTAAAAACTCAGATAAAGTAGGGCCAAAAAACTGGTAAGTAATACACATGTGTTTAGAAAGCAGACTAGTCTAATGGCAATCTTTTGCTACCTTCAAACTATTATTCTGTTTTTCACATATCTCAAGTGAACAGTAATATAATACACACTAAAGAACACTATGTGGCCATGAAAACTGTTAAGAAAACTCAAAGGCTGATGATAGCCTATAGATTTAAAATTTTCTTCCTTCTCATGTTCCAGGTTTTCTTTAATGAGCACATACAAGCTAAAAATAAACACAAGAACTCTTAAAAAAATCAATAGTGAAGCAAACCAAAGATCAAAAAATGAACTTTGGTCCTTCTTTCAACTTCAATGATATATGCTTCTGCCTTTAAAAAGGTGTACAGGAAACCTTTTTAGGTCTCCTTGGGGACCCAGAATTTAAACTTATAACACTGTAGTTTCAGATTATATTCTATTTATCAGTGAATATATTTCCTAGCTTACCTGATGGCTTCTGAATCAATGTGCACAGGTGCAATTCTTTCCAACAGAAATTTGACCATTTCTAGAAAAGGATTTGTTGGCTGCTTAGGATTTGCAAGTTTCCGGGCTATTTCTCTCTATAGAAAGGAAAAGAATTTTTACAGTAAGTATCATCCTCTTTCATGTTTTTCAAAATAAAAATGATCACAGGCAACAAAAGCATTTAAAGATTCAAAACCATCAGGCGTAAAAAAGCCCTTTTCCTGCTTTACAGCCTGACTAAAATGATATACTCATTAGGCAATCACTAGAAAACCTGGATTGTAGAGAAAAGAAAGGGGGTGACAAGGTATGATTTATGCCCTTTGTCTATTTCTCCCATAAAATTAATACCCTGTAAACAATCTTTTTAATGCTCTACTTTTGAAAAAATTAAAACAATTTATACTGTCACGGGTTTCATTGGTTTATTTCATAGTTTGAAAAAATACTTTTATTTCAGTCAACAATTTGCTTTTTTTTTTTTAAAGAGGGGAAGACTTGTAAGTGTATAAAGTTTTTCAGCTCTGGAAGAACACAGTTGAGTTCAAAGATGGTGGCATTACATCAAAGAGCTCCTACAAAGAAAAGATATTACTGCTGGAACTTTCTAAAGAATATAAGGACTTAATGTTTGTAAAGACTTGAGTTCTCCAAAGACAAGGTTAAATTTACAATGTGCTGGGCACTGGGGGTAAGAAATTTACTTTAATGACAAGGCTTTTAATTGACTATCTCTGATGAATAGGTGTAAAATGTTAGCTGACAAGATAAAGCATATTATAAGTGCTTTCTGAACTATAAAGCAATAACAAATGATAGTCTATTAATTTTTTGTAAAAAAAATTTTTAAGGGTATTTGTCCAAGGGGATAAAGGAGAAAGGAAAAAAATTTCTATTGTAGTTTCAGTAACATCTTGACACAAATTAACTATAAAGGTCACATTAAATTAGATACCACCCATATTTGTTATTAGAGTGTAAATCCAAAGGACTGAGATTCTGAAGAAAATTTATTAGTCACTAGGAGATGCTTGATTTATTTTGCAAGCTGTAATTAATCAAGCAAAATTTCAGCATTTGAGAAAATAAAAATATTTTAGGGAGTGCTTAGGCCTTATATACTTTGCTCTAAACCAAAGATACACATGTAAAATCAACTTAAATACTCTACTATCTTTTTTTTTTTTGCCGTACGCGGGCCTCTCACTATTGTGGCCTCTCCCGTTGCGGAGCACAGGCTCCGGACGTGCAGGCTCAGCGGCCATGGCTCACGGGCCCAGCCGCTCCGCGGCATGTGGGATCTTCCCGGACCAGGGCACGAACCTGTGTCCCCTGCATCGGCAGGCGGACTCTCAACCATTGCACCACCTGGGAAGCCCCTCTACTATCTTTTGAAATCAGGCTTATTTTGTGCAGGTCTCCCAAAGAGGCGATTTTGCCCGACTTCGTATAAAATTTAGTTGCTTTAACATAAGATAAAGTCAAGTGATTGTCTAACAACAAATATGCCACTGGAAAATTGCTAGGCAAACTATATAGTCAGTACTAAAAAATGTAAAAACTAGGCATTAGGAAAGAGTTACAGTAATACATATATAAGCATAAGAAAAATAAAGGAAATGCTAACAGGAAAAAGAATAAATCACATTTAAGCACAGTAATAGCATTATATAAAATACACCAATGCATGTAAATAATAATATTAAGGCACAGTTTTAAAAACCTGACATTTTTGTATTCCCATGTAACAATCTTACATTTAAGTAATCCTTCAAACCATATTTTATGTATGTAATATTTAGGTAGTCTCTTATAACAATTATTTTAAAATAATATATGTCATAATCATAAGTGATACTGGGGATAAGCAACAAGCCAAATTAGTATGTGGCAAGTAAGCAGCAACAAATAAACAGTTTCCTTGTTTTCTTTACACACTCCAGAAAAAAAAAGGGGTACTCACACATACTTCCAATACACAAACAGAAACATCAGATAAAGATGTTTTACAACTGAAAAGTAGTTGAGAACTACTTCTGAGAAGTAACCATATGTAATCCTTTTAGGAAATGACAGCAGAAAGAGTAAGAAAATTAATTCTTTCTATATTCCTGACAATGCTTCAGAAATTTCTGATCAAATCTATGCTATCACTGCAGATTGATATTTACTAGTTACACAGTTACTAGTTACAATTACATAAGTTGTTTAGACTACTTAAGCACTCTTAAGGTATATCAAAGAAATAAGGAAATAGCCCCTATTCTCAAGCAGTTTATGATTTACTAATTTGTTATTACAAAAAAATTTTTAAAGCTTTAAAAAATGCTGCATCTATATATCTCCTTTCATTTTCATACATATCTGCTTTCTCATTTTGACAATAAGAAATACCTATTTGTTTAAAAAAAAAAAAAAGTGGACTTCCCTGGTGGTGCAGTGGTTAAGAATCTACCTGTCAATGCTGGGGACACTGGTTCGATCCCTGGTCTGGGAAGATCCCACATGCTGCAGAGCAACTAAGCCTGTGTGCCACAACTACTGAAGCCCACGTGCCTAGAGCCCATGCTCCGCAACAAAGAGAAGCCACCGCAATGAGAAGCCCACACACCGCAACGAAGAGTAGCCCCCGTGTGCCACAACTAGAGAAAGCCTGCATGCAGCAATGAATACCCAACACAGCCAAAAATAAATAATTTTTAAAAAAAATTTTAAAAATTAAAAAAGTTAAAAAAGAAAGTATTCTTTCACATACATGGTATTTCCTCTTGTATAATTTACTGCTTTCCTAGCTAATAAAAAATGATTCCTGACGGACTTCCCTGGTGGTCCAGTGGTTAAGACTCCGTGCTCCCAATGCAGGGAGCCCGGGTTCTATCCCTGGCCAGATCCCATATGCCGCAACTAAGCGATCCCGCATGTCACAACTAAAAAAAAAAAAAAGATCCCACATGCTGCAATGAAGATACCGCATGCAGCAACAAAGATCCCATGTGCCAGCAGTGCAGCCAAAAAAATTAAAAAACAAAGGCTTCTGCGTTAAAAAAAAAAAAGATTCCTGAAAGGATTTGTATTATCAATATTTTTCTGTAGCTGGAATCAGTAAACTAGATAAAACACATCTCTCACAAGAAATAATTTCCAGAGCTTTAACTTTCATGTTAGTGACCTATTCTTTTGGATTCCTGGGCCCAATTCCAACATGGTGAACAGGGGCGGGGGGGGTGTCCCCCCCACCACCAACAAGCAATTCTCTGCACACAAGCAGGGCATACTAAAATTCAATCTCTACCCCCCACCCGCCCAACTCTCCCACTTCAGATGCCAGTAGCAAGCCCAGGTTTACCTGTACCTCTAACCAAATGACTATAAATCAGAGGTTCCCACAACCCCCATCCCTTCCTTGGGCTCAATTAATTTGCTAGACTGGCTCACAGAACTCAGAGAAACATTTTCTTACTACTGCTAGATCACTGGTTTATTATAAAAGTATATAACTCAGGAACAGCCAGATGGAAGAAATGCATAGGACAAGGAAAGGACTCAGAGCTTCCATGCCCTCTATGAGCTTGCTACTCTCTGCAAATCTCTACATGTTCACTAAACCAGAAGCTCTCTGAACTGTGTCCTTTTGGGGTTTTATGGAGGCTTCATTACATAGGCATGATTTGGTGGCACAGCGGTTAAGAATCCACCTGCCAATACAGGGGACATTGGTTCGATCCCTGGTCCAGGAAGATCCCACATGCCACGAAGCAACTAAGCCCGTGAGCCACAATTACCAAGCCCACGTGCCGCAACTACTGAAGCCTGCACACTCTAGGGCCCGTGTGTCACGACTACTGAGCCCGCGTGCTCCAACTACTGAAGCCTACACACCTAGAGCCCGTGCTCCACAACAAGAGAAGCCACCGCAATGAGAAGCCCACGCACTGCAACGAAGAGCAGCCCCTGCTCACCTCAACGAAGACCCAACGCCGCCAAAAAAACAAACAAAAATTATATTAAAAGAAAACAAGAAGCATTCTATGACTGTTACTAAATAGCGTAAGTTAGCATCTCTCTCTCCTTTTGTTTTTTTCTTCTCAACCTCCTCCAGGAGATATAACTATGCTAATACATACCAACAAGGCCTGAATCTCAGATTTCTAAATATAACTGCTGGAGGCTACATATACATCATTATCTTCTCCTATCCCTAAAGTATCTCCTCTGATATCCAGTCACCCAAACTAGAAATAAAGCAGTCATTCTTCATATACTGGTCTAATTCCTACTCATCCTTTAAGAATCAACTCAGGAATGACTTATTCTAGAACAAGCTATTCCCATTTCCACCCCTGCCTGGGACGAAGCGCATGATTCTATCAGAATATTTAACACACTATATTCTCTATTGAAATATTTCCCTGCCTCTGTCACCTAAACAGCAACTTCGGTGAGAGAGCATGTATAATACAATTTACTAAATTATGTAATGAATTATAATGGTGTAGGCTTGACCAAAGGACAAAATATACTTTGGACTTCTGAAGACACAATGCATATCCAAATAATACCACAAGGAAGGTTTTTCTTTAAAGTATAGTCCGTGAACTACTCATCAGAGTCACTTTGAGACTTTGCTAAAAGATGGAGATTCAGGACCCCACTCTAGACCTATTTTAATAATTCTTAGTGTTTGTCATGTGTATGTAACATCATAAGAATTACTATCTATTTACATCCTATAGGGCAGTGCAAGGGGCCCTCTAGTAGGCCGTACATAAATTTTAATTTTATCTTATTCGTTTAACAATCCAATGAGGTTGATAATATTTATAGGTGAAGAATATGAGGCTCAGAAATGCTGAGTAACTTATTAAAGGTCAAATTGGTAGTAAATGCTGAAATTCAAACCTAGGACTGTCTCAAATGCTGAATTAACAATATTCCTGGAAAATCTTAAAATTTGGGAACCATGGTCATAGGAACATGCTAGAGGATAAAATAGCAAGCAGAGCTGAAGCTATGGCAAATAAGTGGTCCTCCACTAGAACCAAGGTGCGGAAACTCAAAACCTGAAGTCCAAAGAGAAAGCAAATCTATACAGCAC